TCTTGGGTCGCCCTGCACCGTATAGCTCATGGCTTCACTGACTTTCGCAAGCCCCTTCGCCACGACAAGGCAGTGATCCATGAAGGGGCTTAACATTGAGCCTTATTCCTAAACCATGTAGATGCATTTTCCACCTTTGTCTCAATTGTACGAGGCTGCTTCATGTCTCACTGTCTATTATGATATCATCAGCATAAACAGCATCCATGGGTGTTGTGATTGTAGGTTTCTGGTTGGTGTCCAAATAGAGAATAAATGGCAATGGTGAGAGGTTGGTCCCTTTGTGGAGAGAAAAGATGCTCAAACGTCCAGCAGCATTTGCTACTGAGCTGATTACACTGGGGTATAGTAGTTGACCGGAGCACATGTATTGTATGATTTAAGTGATAGCCAAATGAGGTCATGTGGTCCATGATCAAATGCTTTTCTAGGTCAGTGAGTGGCATATATATGGTTGTTTCTTTGTCATGGTGCTTCTTCATCAATAGGCAGGGGGCATGTATTGTGTCAGTTCTTGTATAGTTTTTTATGGACTTGCACTGGTTTGGTGAAAAGTTGGTGATGTCACACAGGAATCTAGTATGCGTTCAGAAATTGTCATGGTGTGGCATAGTAGTCAGGTCAGCTTCTAGTTTGAGCAGTCTCACACATTCCTTTTGCCTTTCTAGATTGAGATGCTATATTGTTGTGGCAAGTTGATATTCTTCTACAATGTTTTTGAACAATCTTGTAAGCCATTCTGCTCCCTGTGATTCAGGTAGCTTCCATATTTCAGCTGGGATGAAATTCAGGCCAATTCCTTGGTTGTTTTTCATCTTGCAAATGGCAAGTGAGACTTCTTCAACCAGCTGCCAGGTAGTTCATGGGAGCTGAGCAGTGTGTCCCCCAGGTGGCACATAGAAGGAAAAATACCCATGCAAGTAAAATAGCAGTTTACTGCTATTATGGTCACTGGGGTACCTCCAAATAAGGTCCAGGTTTAGTATCCCAAATTAGAAGCTGTAGACCACTGGTAAACATCATCAGGTTTTACGAGAACCTGGCTGAAGAACAAGCTGCTCATTGCTTCACCATGCATGATGCTTACCTCTAAAGCTGAATCTCTACATCTCTTTGATCTGGTCTACTTTAAGACAGTGTCTTACTCATTCTGAATATACCACTCTAATTATTACTCCAATGCATTGATTGTCCTCTATATCTATCAGGAATATAGTTATTCTCATGACTTGCGACACAGAAGCAATAATAACTACGGGAAAGTTGCATAGAATTCATTGTGATTTTCATTTCCCATTTTAAACATCAGAGCAGGAATGACCCCAACTCGACCTACAACGAAGACAACCTGGCTCAGTGTGTTTTTGACCTTTTTACTGCTGGAACAGACACAACCTTTGCTACTCTGATATGGGCACTGCTTCTGTTGGCAAATCATCCCCAAATCCAAGGTGAGAGAAATCTGGGCAGGGGAACACAGTGACTCTCCAGTTCTAAAACACACAGGAATTATTGGAAATTCTTTAAAATATTAATGGCTATTGAATGATAAACTGACTCTATTCTTCATAATAATTTTCCTATGTGGATTCCTGAACATAGAATGAGGAACGTGAACATAGCAGGATTAAAGGAAGCAAAGAAAGTACATACAGAGATCCTTCTTTGATGTCCTCAATAAAATATTGAGTTATGAACTAAAAACTGGAAATAAACATTTAACACACTTTAAATTCAGAAATCTTTTCTGACTTGGTACTTGTTTTTAGGCTACATTGTGTGCAGAAGATTATTGATTTTAATTGACTCAGATTTCCAAAGTGGTTGGAATTGAATTCTGGAGATTGACTTGACTGAAGGAGATTCAGTGGAATCTTTGAATGAAATCAACAATTTGCATCAATATTCTGAATCAGTTTGGACTGGATCAACTCAGAGACCAGGAAACCCATTTTAAATCCGCACTCCTTGAATAACCTCAGAAGGAGGATGAGATTACGTTTAATGCTCTGAAAACTATTCTATACCCTAAAATAATACTGAGGATTAAAACTGGAAAAGAAATAAAGAAGTGAAATACAGTATTGAAAAAGAAGCTTCTACTGTATTTTCTTTATTTTTTTTTGTAGAGAAAGTCCAGAAGGAGATTGAAGATGTGTTTGGCTTCTCGGGGTCAATTTCTTATCAAGATCGGAAGAAGCTGCCCTACACCAATGCTGTGATTCATGAAATGCAGCGTATAAAATATTTCCTGCTATATGGAGCTCCCAGGCAAAGTACCAAGGATGTGAAGATGAGGGGTTATCACATCCCAAAGGTAGAGAAACTTGTTCAGGCTGCACTGCAGGAGTCCAGCATGGAAGGAAAACCACAAGATGACATGTGGACAGAGGCCATTTGCTCAGAAACTGCCAATGTAGTTACACAAAATCAAATGGGCAAGAATAGAATATGTTTGGGGGGGGTGTTGGGGGCCTATGGGTTTAAACCCAAACACCTACCAGATTTTAAAGCTCGAACCCTAAATGTTTTACATTTATTCTAGGAGGAGGATGAGAGATTAAGGGCTGAACTTAAGTTCAGAATTGTAGTCATGAGTGGCCATGTTTCTTCATTGATATGTCTCCTTCTTGGGACAACCTGGAGTGAAAAAGAATTATGGACCCAGCCCTTTCTTTCAATGGAAGGAAGGGGAGAAAGGAAGCTGAGCTGCTGAGCAAATGTTTCATCAATATTGTCAGAACTTTTTTGCCTGTTTACCTTATGAAGCTGCTCTGTTTAGTTGTCTCTGTTTTTTACAGGGGACCATTATTTTCCCAGACCTGTGCTCTGTTCTTCTTGATCCTGGACAATGGGAGACACCTGAAGAATTCAACCCCAATCACTTTTTAGACAAGGTTGGGAAATTCATCACTCGGGAAGAGTTCCTGACATTCGGAATAGGTAAATCTATGAGTCCAAAGTAGCTTATAGCTTATAGATTCCCACCAACAGCACCTCTTAGTAATTCTGAGGTCATCATAGTCTGAATATGAAGCCAAGGAATCCTTATTCCTTCTAGTTTCAAAACTAAGAGAGTCTGAAGTTCCCTTTAGGCAATAAACGTTGAAGTACAAAGGAACACTAGTTATCTTTAGATTGCAGTCTTACACAGTAGAGCTTTCTAAGACATGTACAAGATTGCACTTATGTTTGGTAGATAACTTTTAGTTAAATCCAACGAATGCTAACCAAGTTGTAGCTTCTTACTAACAGAACCACAGAGTAATGGTTCTAGATGCTAGAAGCACAAGTCTTCCCCCACTGCAGTGTTTCCAGTCCTGTCTGGTACTGCATGTATACCAGTGAATCCTTCTCCTTTGATGGTGCAGGTAGCAAAGGGCATAAATGGCACAATTTCAACCATGATAAATATGAAAACTGATGAGTCTTGCTATCTTCTGTCCTGCACAATTCCAGAAATCCCATCACATTCATTTTCCCCACCACTTGCCACTACATCGTAATATCCGCTTCTTACCATCCCCCATAGCCAACCCAGGTACAACAGGCAGGAATTGAGCCACTATAGTGAAAATCTAAAAATCATTCACTCATTTGCCATTCCTCCAAATATGGCCCATGATAAGAAAACACATCCCCAAGTAAGGAGAAAAACAGTAAATGAAAGACTGTAGAGATGGTACATCTATAAGTGGTTATGGACAATCCATTGGCACTCAAACACTCAAGGTGGCATGCAAAATTTGAAAAAAACTGAAATCAAAATTAAAACGTAAAACCAAAATCATTGAAGTCAATAGTTAAAAGTTGACAAGAGATTTTCCCCATTTTGTTTAAATAAGTTGGTGGACAGAGAAGTGAGAAAGTAACTTCCCTCTTTTAGGCCAATCTCTGGAAAAACATGCCAGATCATTTTTTTTCAGTGGTCTATCACTTTGCCTTTGAAATGGTGTACCATTAGATTATGTACTACTGCAATCTGAGTTCAAGTCATCACCCTGTGGGATGTCAACAAACTGAGTAAAAGGGAAAAAACACCTCTAGTAATTGAATCTGCTAGAAGATACAAGGATTCAATTTGGAAATCTCCTGGGGCTCTTACAAATCTTTTCACTTTTATTTGCTGATGGGGATATACTCTGGGAAATAGACTATTATTACCTGTCTGCATGCCCTGTCTCATCTACAGGTCAGCAGGCATGTGTGGGAGAGCAGCTGGCAAGAATTGAGATCTTCATCTTTGTGACTAGCCTCTTGAGGGCCTTCAGCTTCCAGCTGCCCGAAGGAGTGAAAGAACTCAGTCAAGCACCTGTTGTAAAGTTCCTCATGCATCCATACCCTTACAAACTGTGTGCTGTTCCCCACACAGCCATAAAACATATAGAAACACCATGACAAGCACAGAACTAATTACAGTATACTTATTCAGTATTATGATAAATGTTTCCTATATGCCCATTCACTTATTTAGATGTTCTGCCTCCATTTACTCTACACAGAAACTTCTTCAACCTACAAGTGGATTCACACAACTTCTTTAACAAGGTCAACAAAACAGCTGGAGGTCATTTGTGAGCACTATACTGAGTAAGCTTGTTAAGTTTTACTTTTCTTTCCTTTTGAGTACCAATAAAACATAATACTTTCAATTTACTCTTAGTACCTGTTTTCATTTTTTTTTTTTAAATTTCTGATATGGACTTCACATTCTCCCCCCAGAGCAAAAGGTGAAACCCCATGTGTTTTCCTCAGGGCTTTCATACAGTACAGATGTGGCTGCTTTAAAAGAAGAGGGTGACTGTGATAGTTTCCTTGAGTCAAATAAGGATTAGATTGATCCCAGATTCAATGAGACCTAACAAGTCTTGGACACCAACTGTTTTTCTTTTCATCTCTCCATTTTATTACACAGAATGAAATATTACCTTTCTAAATAAAGTTGTATACTTCTGTTCATTTTACAGACCTGTATTTAGACCTTATTTCTGGGACCTTATCATTAAACTGACTAAATCTATTCAGCTCTTGTCCTATAGCCAAATATATGCTTACCTATGTTTTCCTCTAGATTTATGTGGTTGTGTCCCCCTATTTCTGTGTTGTATTACCATATTAGATCTCCTATTTCTATGTCTGCTCCCTAAGAAGCTTAGCAATAATTCTCTGCTTGTTTCTAGCTTTCATTTCAGTGTCTGTGTTTTTCCCCATACTTCTTATTCTTTTCCAGAACAATCATAGTTGTTTCTCCAGTTAGGGAGGGAGGGAGGAGCAAGCACAGGGGCTTTCCATCATCAGAACGCAGGTCTTCCCTAAACCTTTGGATTATGACTCAAAATACAGTTCACATGGGGCTGCCTTTAAAGAGAATGCGGAAGCTGCAGTTCATCCAAAACCCAATGGTCCAGGGGCTCACTGTCCCTCTCCAACAGGCCCTGTGTTGGCTACCAATTCCCTTCCGGGTGCAATTGAAAGTGCTGGTTTTGACCTCTACAGCCCATTATGGCTTTGTCCCTTGATACTTCCAGAACTGCCTGCTCCACCCAGAATCATTTCGACCTCTTAGGTCAGCAGGGGAAAAACCTCTTGTAGTATCCCACTTTAAGGAAATTAAAGGATCTGAAGCAAGGAGGCACTGTTTACCAGTGGCAGTGCCGGTTTTCTGGAACAGACCTCCAGTAGAGTAAGTAAATTTATTATTGTAACTGTATGTCATTATTTATAATGTGCCATAAAATACAATAAAATAGCAGTAAGCTATTGTACAATAAAGTAATAAAAGGAGTATTAGATGTAAAAAGGTTACAGTAAAACAAAGCCAAGGCTAAGAACTTAAATATTTCTTTCCAAGTTTAAATGACAGCAGAGCAAATGTAGCAACTTGGTTGCTGACAGTTGGAAACAAAGCTGCAAGAAGATACTTCAGTTTTTTTTGAGATCGGCGCCTTTGAGTTCATCCACCATCAGTAATTTGGTCCTAATCTCATTGTCCTTGGGGCAGCAGAGGACATAGTGGATAAGGTCCTCACTTGACCAACACCACAAGGACAGAGACATTGTTCGACAGGGAGCTTACCAAATCTCCCTTCAGGATCTGCAGAGGGCCTGGTTTGCAGGCAAAGGGATGTTAAAGCTCTTCTCAGTGAAGCACTGGTTATGTTAACCAGGTACT